TGTACGAATGTGATTATAACATTATTATTCAAAGTACTTGATTAATCATAATACATAATATTGAATGACATAAGATCGAAAATACATGTGTTAGTTCACCATTAGAATACACCACCGTATAAACTGTAATTGCAATATTTTTTTAGTTAAAACAATCATTTAAATGAAAGATTAAGATTTAATCTACCTGATTATTTGATACCTGAGTAAATTCAATATTGCACATGCTAGAGTCAACAGCTGTCATTTTATCAAAACAAAGATCAAAATGCATTACAATCAAATTATCTATTTTTGCAATAATTGCTTTATAAATTATCTACATACAAGAAAATTTTAATCACCTTTATAATCATATCAATCTGGACTCCACCATAAATCATTTATAGTAAAAATTTTCAAAATATGTATTGACTGAATAGTGAACAATGTAGACCATGATGTGCCAGCTGACTTTGGTCTGCACTGGCTGCATATGAGCCGCGTCATGACAAAACCAACATAATGGGTTTGCGACCAGCATCCGCGCAGTCTGATCAGAATCCATGCTGTTCGCTATCAGTTTCTCTACTTGTAATAGGGTTGGTAAGCTGGTCGCAAACCCTTTATGTTGGTTTTGTCATGACGCAGCTCATATATAGAATCAGTTTCTGCCAGCAGGCAAAAGGTTATTCTAAACTGCCAGGCTAGTCTGCACCCTACCTGAGACTGTTTCATCATAATTGTCTGTTTTATCTTAAATATTCAATATTGAAAATTGAAATACCTTAAATCATTTCAACTTAGTGAAATGTGTATTTTTAACTCACACCATAATTTTAATGTGAGCATATATTCAAAATTTCTAAAGACTTTAATGATTACCTTAAGAATTTGTTTAACATTTTCAATTGCCCTTACTTCCTTTTGAAACAAACAAACTATTGCCAGTGTTATGTCAGCACCTTTATGTTGGTGTATTGTCAGTTTAAAATGTATTTTCATTGCCAACCCAATTACTTAAATTTCCAGCTAATTTTCTACATCTGACAACAACTGGCATACAGTCAATCATGCACTGCCAGTCTGTTGTCAGTTTATTTACATTAATGTCAGTCATACAGAAGTGTTAAAATTGTCATGAATCATAACATATTTCCACTCATAGATTTACCAAAGTTATATTTTCACTCATAGATTTACCAAAGTTATATTTTCACTCATAGATGTACCAAAGTTATATTTTCACTCATATATTTACCTAATGTTAATTATTTTCACTCATAGATTTACCAAAGCTATATTTTCACTCATAGATTTACCAAAGCTATATTTTCACTCATAGATTTACCAAAGCTATATTTTCACTCAAAAATTTACCAAATGTTTTATTTTCACTCATAGATTTACCAAAGTTACATTTTCACTCATAGATTTACCAAAGTTAGATTTTCACTCATAGATGTACCAAAGTTATATTTTCACTCATATATTTACCTAATGTTAATTATTTTCACTCATAGATTTGCCAAAGCTATATTTTCACTCATAGATTTACCAAAGCTATATTTTCACTCATAGATTTACCAAAGCTATACTTTCACTCAAAAATTTACCAAAGTTATATTTTCACTCATAGATTTACCAAAGTTACATTTTCACTAATAGATTTACCAAAGTTAGATTTTCACTCATAGATTTACCAAAGTTATATTTTCACTCATAGATTTACCAAAGTTACATTTTCACTCATATATTTACCAAAGTTATGTTTTCACTCAAAGATTTACCAAAGTTATAATTTCACTCATAGATTTACCAAAGTTATATTTTCACACATAGATTTACCAAAGTTATATTTTCACTCATAGATTTACCAAAGTTATATTTTCACTCATAGATTTACCAAAGTTATATTTTCACTCATATATTTACCTAATGTTAATTATTTTCACTCATAGATTTACCAAAGTTATAATTTCACTCATAGATTTATCAAAGATATATTTTCACTCATAGATTAACCAAAGTTATAGTTTCACTCATAGATTTATCAAAGTTATATTTTCACTCATAGATTTACCAAAGTTATATTTTCACTCATATATTTACCTAATGTTAATTCTTTTCACTCATAGATTTACCAAAATTATAATGTCACTCATAGATTTACCAAAGTTACATTTTCACTCATAGATTTACCAAAGTTATATTTTCAGTCATAGATTTACCAAAGCTACGTCTTTGGCCTCTTATATTTCAACCATTCATATACTGGTATTCTTTAATTAACTTCTCCAGCTTCCATTTTTAGAAAAGCTTGTCCATTATCAATTTTAGGGATAACCAAGATGCTGATATCAAGATGCCAAACTTTAAAGATACTAAGCCAACAGTGTACAGCCTGGTCAAATTGCCTAGACATGCAGGCTGGCCTGTTGGCAAAGGGTAATCTAACTTTCGGTCCCCAAGATAGAAACTGTTAACATTATAGAACTTATCATTTCCTTCGAATTGAGATCATTCCAAACACTGGCCGATGTATTTTTTTATCATTCCCCATCATGAGAATTTTTCCTTACAGATGGAAGATTTGATCAGAACATACTATAAACATTATTGATTTATTATTTATATTCATCACAAATAATTGTATGATTTATGGAACGTTTCACGATTATGGGACACGAAACAGGTATGCTTTGCCGCCGTTAATTATGATATATGGAACATGAAATAAAATAGAAAATCGTTATTTCAGTATAGCATCATTGGACCAGATTATACATTATCTATATTTAATGATAAACAATTTTAAACACTCAGATTATCATTAAGGCAGTCATATAAGCTATTCTGTAGCCCATTATAATTATGGGAGGGAGCTGCGAGTTTCCATAGACAAAATTATTCAGGAATCTATTAAATTATATTTGCGAAGGATATTTACTTAACCAAAAACAGACTTATATTCTTTTTAAAATAATAGGAATATATTATACAAACAGGTATTTTTTTTCTCTGTAAACATCTGTGCATATTGCTTTTTGTCGTGACATTCATGATAACCTTAGGAAGATTTTTGACATTACTATAGAGTTAATGCATCTATTTTTGTGCATCTACAGGAACACATTTAAAGCTCAAGCCCCCAGTTGCAGATGTTAATGCAATTTGTGCACGCATGCAAAAGAAGCATACATCACGAGATTCAGTAAATTTGTGTTTAATTTGATTTTCACTTTCGTTAAGCTCTTTCAGACAAGTGTGGTTTCACTTGACAGTTATATTTTGATAATGAAATTACCAGGGCCACCATTGCAGGGACGGCAATTTTTGCATGGTGCCCTGAGTCCTTCATATCAAAAACATGCAACAATGGCGCATGCTCGCGTGATTTTATCCGCTAGATGCATATTTTCTTCTCTGTTTATATGCACCTGGGTGTGCAGTCTTTTTTATCCAAGAATAAAGACCAGATGGTCACATTCAAAGAAAATTGTTTACTACATTAGCAATTTGTTCAGAAAAGATGATTTCTAAAATCTCCCATTTAAAATGTAACAGCAGTGACTGATTCAACAATATTCCAAAAAGTCTTGTGACAGCTTTCATCTATGTGGAGTTCATTCAGTAAACACAGTTTCTTATACCATTTGAGCTGTGTCATGACAAAACCAACATAGTGGGTTTGCGCCCAGCATGGATCCAGACCAGCCTGCGCATCGGCGTAGTCTGATCAGGACCCATGCTGTTCGCTATCAGTTTCTCTACTTGTAATAGGGTTTGTAAGCAAACAGCATGGATCCTGATCAGACTGCACGGATGCGCAGGCTGGTCTGGATCCATGCTGGTCGCAAACCCATTATGTTGGTTTTGTCGTGACGCGGCTCATTTATTCTGCATTAAATAATTTAAAGCTCACTGCATTATTCGAGCAGATGAAATCCTAAAAACTGTTCAATTGAGCAAAAACCCATAACATGTCAAAAGATGTAGAAATTTAACTTAAATTGATATATTAATACTTTGTCCGGTAAGTAAAAAGGGTAGACTAAATATTGCAAGTGGTAGAAGTAGTAAATTCTGTTATATTTTGCATGAAACATTCAAAGTTGACAAAAGTTTACATTTCTTTAGTTAAACTACAAATTTTTGTATTTAAAGTTCGATCCAAAATTTTGTTGATTTTTTCCTCAGCTGCTTTAAAAAATAAGACAGGGTTTTTTTATAGATCTGTTACAGGGAAATACTTCAGAGGCCAGAAGATCTTTCTGTTTACTGGCGGATGAATAATTGTTCCGATAAAAAAAATAAATAACAGAGTAGATTGATCGATTGAAGTTAGGCAATTAGTAAGCAAATAATCAATATTGATTTTGAAACAATTTGCTGTTGGATCAATCAAGTGTTATAAACGCAGGCATTGATTGAGATGTCTCGTAACGGCACAAACTTGCCGATAATCTTTTATTTTCTTTGACAGAATTATTTGTATATAAATCAGAAAACAAGAAAATATTTAATTATTTAATAACATCTTGATATAAACAAATAATTCAAAATAAAATGCAAATATAAAACAGGTGTTACTATTGACATGAATTTAATTGTTAATTTTTGTGACTTAAATTACATGAGGCCATTTTAACATTGCCAGAAACATAAAAGAATAAAAGTATTGAAGTCTTAGTATGACATTACTAGTAGATTATGTTAATAGTCAATCATAAATATGGATAAATTTTTTACATGAAATTCTTGATCAGCGATAATTTTTTAATGTAAAATTTTCAGTAAAATAACTTTTACATTACAATTAGAAAATTAAAATGCAATATTGTTAGCAGTTAATAATCAGCAAAAATGTCAAAGTAGATTTTTTTATCTTTTTTTCCATTTTTATCTTTTTCATTATCTCTTTTTCATTATCTCTTTTTCATTATGTCTTTTATTATCTGTTTTTCATTATCTCATTTCATTATCAAATAACTAATCCTTGTTTTCGTTTCTAATTTCAGAGGCACGGAACTTTTTTTGGACAACACACTTCAGTGGAATTAGCCTAAACCTCTTTACGAGAAAAAACTAACCAAAACAGGAACAAATCTAACCGAAAGACAAGTAATACCAGTAATTATCACGACGAAACAATTCTTTGACGTGGAAATGATCTGCCGATATTGAAATTTCCGACCAATCAACCAGATTTTAAACTAGATTATTGGCTTAAATGCACTAAGCATTGACACAAAAGATGCTTCATTTCCATTTGAAAACAAACTATGCAAATTTACCTCATAATATATGCAAATTTTGACAAGTTGTTGTACTAGCCCAATACTTGATAATTGCATCGAAACTCATCTCAGAGAGAGAGAGCCATAGAATCAGCCAAAAACCAATTTAGCATGCAACTATGCATTGGTAAAAATTCATTATGGCACATCAATGGAATTCGTACAAATGCGGAAACCATTATAAGTTTATACACATTATAAATAGAACTATATATAGAGTCATAGAAAAGGCGAGCCTAGATCAATTTGCCTTTATTCCACTAAATCAATGATTTGAGTATTAAATGAAGTGTTATTGAGGCTCTATGTATGAATAACTGTTAGCTTCCACGAGCTTATATTTAATGAGAGACTTTAATGCTGTTATTGGAATATCATGTCCGAAATCAATACTGGTATTAAACGAATGAAAAATCATGAATAGATAAAAATACAGGATCAGCTGAAATGTCTACACGTTTCTGGAACAGTTATTTTCTTGTCACCCTAATTATGTCTCTAATTTTCCCAGAAATCAATTGCTCCGCAGTGCCAATCAGTGTCAACATGTCGTCTGCTACAACCCCACCTCCCCTCTCATTCAATGGAACGTTCCAACTGAACTTCTATCCAGAATCAATCAATGAGCTGATACGAGACTGCAACACTACTGTTTATTTTAATGGTACATTCGAAGAAGTTGGTGACAAAAATGTGGGAGAGATTAAAAATGGTAGCAAATCTACGGATTTCTATGCTCGTATTGTATCTGGGAATGCTGAAATTGTGCAGTTTGTAAAACCCGTTGATATGGTAGTGAAAACTCCGAGTAGGGAGGATATTTCTAATCTGCGATTCACCAGTGAGCTTAAGATTCCTATTCACATAAATGGTGTTAATAATTTCACCATTCAAGCCATGCACATTGGATATGTGACTGTGTTCGTTACTATTTTTGGAACGGGTTCATTGGTCATGGCAAGATCGTCGCAAATGAACCAACCTTTGGGGCAGGGAGAATTAAAAGTGGCCGTTGTGTCGCGGCAAAAACCGGCAGATTTTGTGTTCGACTGCTCGGCAGCTGCAGTTGCAATTCTTATAAGTTTTGGAATAGGGTGTGTTACCGACACGGAAAATTTAAAACGTCAGCTGAAATACCCAGTCTCTCTTGTTCTTGGATTTTGCTGTCAATTCCTCCTTATGCCTGTAGTAAGTATATTGATAATATGTCAGATTCTGTTTCTGTCACTTGAAAGCAGACACAGCCTGTGTATTCTTAAAGAAAAGAGACAAAATTTCTGCCTCATTTATTTTCCCCCTTTCTTTAACTTGATATTCTTAATGTAAATTTCACATTCGTATATATTTGACTAGAATAATAAAATTGTCATATTCATTGTCAAATTCATGAAATATTTTCTAAAACAAGAAAATTATATTTGATAATTAAAGGTTTTAAGATCAAATCAGACTTTTTTGAAATGTCTGATTGTCATGTATATTTGAGTTTATAATTAAATGTTAAAGGTCATTAAAAGAATTGGTTACAACATATTTTTATGGTACCTGCTGAGTGTCATAAAAATACATTTTATAATCATGAAAAATGATGTTCTTGAAGCATAAAGCTAACATGTTTTTTACACATAGAAACAACATGAAACAACATTAAACACAGATTTTAACTCTATTTGAAATATATGAAATATTATTGTTGATATAAAAACATATGGTATTAAATTACTTTTAATTTATTCAATTCATTGACACAAAGCATAATATGTCACCATTTGATATCCTTGTTTAATTTTACACAGCTTAAACATAATTCATACTCAAATATTGAAACAAATATAATTTTTACTCAAATATTGAAACAAATACAATTCATACTCTAATATTGAAACAAAAATCATTTATGCTCAATTTTGAGAAAATGTTCTTGCAACCTAATGTAATCATGTTTGAAAATGGTTCCTTGACTAGTGTCATAATTATGATCGAGATATTGTTTTGATCCTACAGTTAAGGGCTTCAACCTAAATCCCTTGGCTTAAGAGGCAGACATTGTTACCACTAGGCCATCGAAGACTCCCTTGATATCCCTAATGTAAAATTCACATTTGTATATATATATTTGACTATTGATTAATTCATTTTAGAAATTCAAGCATCTGCATAATTGATGACATTTAAAATGCATTTTAATTAGGGAGCATCTCAAAACTATTATATAAAACTTTTGAAATTCCTTTTTTACAGAAAAAAAAATCAACCACACAATTTTCATTGTATTTCCCCAACCTATGGTGATGTCATATCAACCATATATTATTCAACATACAAAAAGCTCTGACTTCAACTGCTGAAACACAAAACCTTTTAAATCGTAAATAATTTATTGACACAGAATACTCAAGACAGAAATTATTTAAGTGTTCTAGTGTTTCATTCAAAATTCACCCCTACCATACTAAATATCTTAAATGAACTTGTCCATCTTTCAATCTGGGAGAAAGAAAAAACATTCTTAAATTTAAGAGAAAATTTTAAAAATATATATTACACTGACTAAATAGGTGAACAATGCTGACCACATTCAGATAGCATGAATGTGTCCGCTGAAGTTGGTCAGCACTCAGGTTGTACATGTAGAATCTGTTGCTGCCAGAAAGCTCACAGTAATTCATATATTATAACCAGCTGTTTTTAGTGGGTTCAATTAAAACCCACTTGAAAATATAATACTCTTTTACTTTTCAAATAAACAGTAGTCTACTTTCCATTCTCCACCCCTTATTTTTAGTTGTATGTAAAAATATTCAGCAGAGTTATGTCACTTTGCACTTGACAATCCTAGTAATATAACAATATAGCCCTAATTAAATTAAAGGGGAGATCACTCAATGTCATAATTTTTCATATTTAAAATAAAGTTTACATGGAAAAGATCATTTCCCATACACCTATAAATGTCACAAAAATGAGTCATCCCGTGTCATAAAGTGTCATATGTGATTACGGCACCTTCATAGGAATGTCCAGGAACTTTACCACCTTTGAGGAAAACCATTATAAAATCATATATCAAAATGACCATTGGGTATTAGCACAAATCAAAATTACTATTAACCATTATAGAAACCTGTTTAAGTAGCTTCAATTATTTTTTTTCTTGTCTCTGAGGAAATAAATTATATACTAACATTGATTTACTTTTTTTCCAGTCCAATCCTTTTGTGGCACAGTATCAATTACTAAGGGCAGCCAATTAATTTATTGTGTCAAGCTCTACTTCAGTCAATCATTTAATTGTGACACGCTTTTCTTTGGCCAATTAATTAATTGCTGCAATTGTTCTACTTCTGCTAATAAATTAATTTACATTTATCAGTTATATAATTAATTGATGCATGTTCTACTTCTGTCAATTTTATTAATTTGCACATCCTAAAATTTACACTTCAACCAGTGACTGCAATCTTCAACTCGGCTAATAAATTATTGGGGCATTCTTTTAATTAGACCAATTAATGTGTATAGCTCCATTACAGTAATTCCTGCAGCCAAAGGCTTAGGTAATTTAGTCTCTAAATGCACATATTCAGGAACTAGTCTGTATTATGTAACAATTCTTACCATTGGTCTGAATTTCATAATATACTCACAAAAATTCATTACAGTGAGATTATATTCAATACTTATCCATCACATTGATATATATTTAATATTTATTTATCACAGTGAGATATATCTGTATTCAATATTTATTCATCACAGTCAGTGAAATATATTAAATATTCATCATTTTTTCAATGTGATATATTTCTGTATATAACATTGCCAGTCTCAGTACGTACAACAGTTCTACACAATATTTTTATATAAATTTAGTATTTAATTATACCAGTGAGGTATATTCAATATTATTTACTCCCATAACAATGAGAGATGTTCAATATTTACAAGACATACAGTAATTATGTCTAATGTTTACTCACACCAGTGAGATATATTCAAAATTTATTCATTACAGTGATATATATTCAGTATTTATCCATCACACTGAGGGAATTTATTCAGTATTTATTCATTACAGTGAGATATATTCAATATTTATTCATTACAGTGAAATATATTCAATATTTGTTCATTACAGTGAAATATATTCAATATTTGTTCATTACAATGAAATATATTCAATATTTGTTCATTACAGTGAAATATATTCAATATTTGTTCATCACAGTGAGATATATTTAATATTCATTCAACAAAGTGAGATATATTCAATATTTATTCATCACAGTCAGTGAAATATATTAAATATTCATCCATCACAGTGAGATATATTAAATATTTATTCATCAGAGTGAAATATATTCAATATTTATTCATCACAGTGAGATATGTTCAATATTTATTCATCACAGTGAGATATATTCAATATGTATTCATCACAGTGAGATATATTCAACATTTTTTTAATTACTGTGAGATATATTCAATATTTATTCATTACAGAGACATACATTCAGCATTTTTTCTTAGAAAAGTCAAAAGAAATAACTTTTCATTACAATTATTTTTAGTTACTCACAACTAACAAATTTTACCTACAATGTCATTTATTACAAAGTTTTAAATTTGATCATTTTATCATGATCATGGAAAATTTAATATTAAATTATATCTGTCAGTTGACATGCATTCCTTATTCATGAATTCCATATTTTTGCCTCCCCTCAATCATCAAATGGACAAGTCTTACATGCGCAATTATATTTTTTTTATTAAGGCAGCAGGTGTAAAAAACAAAGTGTTTTATTATTTCTTTTTATCTTTTTATTCGCATACATTACAAAAGTATCAAGTGTTAATTTTCTAAGAAGTGATACAGGCATCATGAGAAGTTCCAGCTGTACATGTAGTCTGTAAACGAGACAAACCATTTTATACATGATTGAGAGGTGATGCAATTTGCAATGGGTCCAAAAAAAATTAAAAATCTAATTGCTACCCATATGGTCTGAGATCCAAAATTAATTCCTACAGCAAGTCTAAATTTTCACCAAATTTTCAAAATGGAGAAAATTCTAAGTTCGTTCTTTAGAGATCCATATGTGGTAACATGTAATTAAAATTTACACCTCCCATCTTCCTATGACATAGCAGAGCATAAAACATTTATTGTTTCAGGCTCCAACCTTATGTATATTAATAATACAGTCTCTGTATAGGAAATGACGAAGAAAATAAACCTGTCTCCTTGAAACCACTAACTTGATAAAATTTTGAGAAATTAAACTTTGGCATTTTAAGAAAACAGAAACAATCAAGTTAATATTCTGAGGCCTGATCTATCAAAAACTGGGAACAAGTTATTGATTTCCACAATAGAAAGCATTGCCTGCTGTGCTTTTAAGTGATGATTCAAAAGATTTTATGTCAAAATTGCTCTCCTGTTAAAATGCTGATTCATTATTGTAGCATCTTGATATAAGTGTAATAGATAAGGCAATATTTAATATTCATGCCATCTACACACTCATCCTTTTCCATTTCTACAGTGTACACTTATTTTCCATGATAGGCCATTATTACGCTTATTCTTTGACCTGTCACCATCGGCTCTCATCTTTGCCCCATATACTTTTTGCCATCTCTACTCATCTTTCCCTCATATGTTTATCTTATTGCCATTAACTCTAGTCTTTCCCCAATATGTGCTTATCTTATTGCCATTTGCCATGTGCTTATCTTATTGCCATTTGCCATGTCTGCTTATCTTATTGCCATTTGCCATGTGCTTATCTTATTGCCATTTGCCATGTGCTTATCTTATTGCCATTTGCTTTAGTCTTCCCCCCATATGTGCTCATCTTATTGCCAAATGCCATGTGCTTATCTTTTTGCCATTTACTCTAGTCTTTCCCCCATATGTGCTCCTCTTATTGCCATTTCCCATGTGCTTATCTTATTGCATTTTACTCTAGTCTTTCCCCCATATGCATTTATCTTATTGCTATTTGCCATGTGCTTATCTTATTGCCATTTGCTCTAAAAAAATTCTCCCATATGTGCTTATTGCCATATAGTCTTTTCCCCATATGTGCTTGCCTTTCTGCCATCTGCTCTAGTTTTTACCCCATATATACTCATCTCTTTGCCATCTGCATTCACCTTTCCCCCATTATTAAGCTCTGACA